AAAGTCGCCCCCTTCTTCCCGACCTTAGTCAGTATCCCTCATCTGCAAAGCCTTAGGCAACAACTCCCGATTCCTAACCTCATCCGCAAACCTCGCCCCCATCACATCCCTCCCCACCAACCCCGCCTCAGCCCCCTGATCGTTATAAAACGCCCCCTTATGGAAATACTTTTGCATAAACCCCACCTTCCCCTTCCCCTCCCTTTCCTCTTTCTGTTTCCGCAAGTGCTCCTCATCCTCCTTTTTCCTCTCCTCTTCAGTCAACCCCCTCCTCCTCTCCACCTCAGCCAGCTCCCTCTCCTTTGCCTCAATCGCCTCCCTCTCCCGTTTCAGTCTTTTCAACTCCCTCAGCTTCCAAGCAGCATATTCCGCCTCGGGATCAAGATCGTCAGTGTCGTCCACCTCGAGTTTATTCTCTTCATCGTCGTCGTCGTCCCAGGCTTTTTTTCCTGATTTCCGAGCCAGGAGGTCCTTGGCGATTTGTTCTTCTACCAACGCGTCAGCGGCGGCTTTGCGCGCGGCTTCCTCGGCGGCGGCCAGAGCCGATTCTTGCTCTCGGGCGAGCTGGGCGGGCGTCTTGTTGCGTTGGGATTTGGGGATGAATTTTGGGCGGGCCATTAGGGGTCTGCGTGGGGCCGAGTCTTCGCTGCTGCTGGAGGATTCTGACCCGGAGCCGGATTCGGAGCCGGACTCGGAGGGGGAAGGGGCGCGTCGGGGCGGGAGGCCCATTTTTGGTTGTTTTGTTGGTGGTTGTGATGGTGGTGGTGGTGTTGTCGCAAAAGGTCGAGAATCTGGCAAGCTTTGGGAGACGCGACTTTGCGACTTGACTGCGGCGGGTTTTGGAGAAGTGGAGCAGAACTTAAATTGATGGCGCTAACCGGATTGGGTATATCAGACGTCAGAAATTTGGGCTGATCAATTCTTGATATGACGGACAGGAGGGTGGATGCGCAGATTTAGAGAAAATTGATGCTGAGAATATTTTGAAGCAACTTTTGGGTATCTGATCTGTCCAACAGGGAGGCGGCAATGCCAAGCTGTGGACTTTCTGGGGTAGCTCCACCACCGCTGCCAGGGTTAGGGTAGAGCCTTGAACCCTCCCTCGCATCATCACGCTGCGTATCCAAGCAATATCATGTATCATAACTAGCCAACATCACTTCGGGCCCCCCATCCCAAGCTTCCCAAAAGCCCTATCCAGCTCCTCCCCCTCATCCGGCACCGCCATCTCACTCGCCCCTCCCGGCCCATGCCCTTGCTGCTGTTGACTAGTATTTCCCTCCCCATGACCACCTTCCCCAAGACTCAACTGCCAAAAGCCCTCTATACCAGACCCATCAGGCGCAACACTCTTTCTCTCCGGCTGAAGAACCCTTACATCACTATCCAGCCAACCAGGTGCTAGCCTCCTCTTCTCAGCCAGCTCAGCAGCCTTTATCCTCTCATCTATCGCTTTGATCTCCGCCTCGGCATCAGCCGTGAGTTTGGCAATGTGATCTCGCAGTGCTCGACAAGAGGCGATAATATCGTTTGGATGGGCCGCGTGCCCAGACGGTGAGACGACATATTTCGGTTCTGGGCCCCCAGCGGCCGAGTCTGATGTGATGCCCGAGGCTGATGGGGGGAGGGCGGAAGGCATGGGCTTGTATGTGTATGGGAGTGTGGTTGCCGTAGGGAGGTTGACAAAGGGGGAGACGGTGAGGGGGACTTGTTGGAGGAAGGGGTGGGAGCCTTGGATGATGGTGTTAGTCAGCGCGTTTCCGTAGAGTTGAGGACGGAGGACGACATACGGTTGTCGTGCATGGTGATGATTCGCCGCGTTTATTTGATCATTTGATGGCAATTTCTGTTTGCTGTTTAAAAAAACTCGAGGTGATCAATTGACACGATTCTTGTATGAAGTGCCACGCGTTTGCTCCAAAGTTTCTGTTGGCCACGCGAGAACCCTCCTGGCCACACAAGCCGCATGACGAAAGAGGGACGTCTCGATAAGGTTATCGATAACGCAAGCTTGACCCCACCAAAATTTGACAGCTCCAGCAGCTTAAACCAGCTAGCTCCCCACCTTGCCAGCGGGCGTTCCCCAAAGTCAACATTCGCGACTTTGACCAGCGCAAACCAAACAACACCAAAACCACCCTCACCAATACCACCCTCACCAATACCACCCTCACCAATACCACGACGACAACCGCCAAAATGTCCCTCACCACCATCCGCTCCCCCCCCTCCCTATCCGACTACACCCCCCTCCCAGACCACCAATCCCACACCCCAACCTCCTTCTTCTCGCCAACCAAACCCATCCTCCACCACCACTCCCCCTCCACCAAAGCCTGGCTCACCTCCCCCACCCAACTCGGCAAACTCCCCTTCTTCCCCCTCGACCTCACCACCCGACCAACCCCCCCCGAATCCCTCGCCCTCTCCCCCGAATCCCTCCCAACAACCTACGAACAAGCGCTCGACGTCTTCGTCACATCCCAAAACCTCGTCCTCTTCTCCCCACAGGCAGAGGCCGGACTGACAATCCCCTACCACCAAATCAGCATCCACGCTGTGCAGAAAATAGGCGAGTTCAGCAGCGTCTACCTCCAGCTTGAGCTCGCAGAGGGCGGGTCGGGGGATGATGAGTGGGATGCGGTCGAGCTGACGCTTATTCCCGCTTCCCAGAAACGGGAGGAAGAAGTGACGGTTGGGGGGAGGAGGCCAAAGACGGAGACGGAGAGGTTGTTTGAGGCTATTTCCGACTGTTCTAACCTTAACCCTGACCCCAAGGGGGAAGGGGATGAGGATGAGGAGGAGGATGAAGATGGGGCGCGGATTATTTTCGAGAG